GTTAGGAATAAACTTGTGATTCAGTGTATTCCTCTTCGTCGTGCTACTGACGCTTTGTTCAAATGGTCTGGTTACTTGTAGCTTTGCGGCCGCTTAGCCGTTCCAGGGAGAGAGACGCCATCACCTCCATCATCACCTAGCTTCGCGCGATGGCTCTCCGGTTGGCTCCACCGCTTCCCCCGCCATCAACAGAACCATATTAGTTTGTTGTCTTCTCGTCGCCGCCGCCACCGCCGTCTAGGGGTGTTTCGTTGTGAGTCTGTGTTGGGCTTGTTATGCTATGCCCACAGCGGAACTTGGGTCTGTGTATGTTGGTCTGTGTGTGAGTGCTGGACCTTGTCTGCGGTGGCATCGTGTTGTTGTGTTGTGTGTTCTGTTGTTACCTGATACTCTGTGCTTGGTGGTTGCTTTATTTATAAAGCGGGGCGAAAGCCTTTTTCGGTAAATTGTTGCTGCCGGTCCAAGCGAATTTCCTCCGTTTTGCATGATTTCAATGACTTCCATGCAATCACCTTCTACGCATATCTTGTTGCATCCAGTTTCACTTGCGGGGAGAAGTCCATCTCTTAAGCCTCATGCTTCCGCCGTAGCCGCTTCTTCAACAAAAGGGATATTGCTGCAAGATGCCGCCACAAAGAAACCGGAGTGGTCTCGAAGTATAGCACCTGTAGCGCCAGTGCCACTGTCAATGTTGAAACCTGCGTCCACATTCAGCTTGATTGTGCCCTCTGGTGGTTTCTCCCAGCCATGTCTCCTAATTCTGTTGTGCTTGAATTTTGCTCTTGAGTAATTTTTTGCGAGTGTCGATATTGTTTGTGCCGATCTGGTAGGCTCGTACAGTTGCTCGCCGTGTGTATATCTGCGTCGTTCCCACCACAAGTACCACACAGCTGTGGCAACAAGGTCATTGCGCTGAACATCATTAATCAATGCCTTAATTGGATTCTTGGACAAGAGGAGGTCAGCCATCACCAAGCCACCCTCTCTTTCCGCCATGCACACCTCATTCACCACCGCTGCCATACCTAGTAAACGCCACACCTCCTGTACACGAGGGCACAAGAATAAAGCATGCCGGATGCTTTCACAATCTGAACTGCATAAGGGGCATTGGGAACTCGAAATTATATGTCTGTTCGCTAAGACTCCTTGACATGGAAGAGCTCCAAGCAAAGTTTTTCACACATGAATTTTCACTTTTGAAGACACATGTAGTTTCCAAATGGTCCTCCAAACTAGACTAGTACTTGAGGCTTGTATCGAATTTGTCATCCTCAACTTTCGTCCGTGTTGGTGTTCCCATTCTTCATGATACGCTGACCTCACCGTAAAATTTCCGCTTATGTTAAAATGCCAAAAAACAAAATCATCCATCATCCCTAGAGCCAAAGGAATGTTGAGGATACTTGTGCATCAATTGGCCAAAACAGATCATTAATTAGCTGTTCATCCCAAGCTCTATTATCCGCATCAATGAGTTCCGACACCTTGGTAATTACAATGTTCGCCCTTGGTGTCATGACTTTCCAAGTGGGGCTGCTTGGTACCCAAGAATCCTCCCATATATTTATTTGAGACTCATCTCCTACTCTCCATATATGACCTCTTTTGAAGGTCTGAATACCACTCCAAATGCTCTGTCAGGTGTCAGAGCTGCCCTTCTTTAAGCTGCACGTAAGGAGGTTGCCCTCTGAAAAATATTTTGCTCTTGATATTCTGGCACATAACGAATCTGGCTCACTCAAGAGCCTTAAAATTCACAGCTTGTTTGTTGAGGCAAGGAAAGAATTCACAGCTGGGAGGACGGAAATGTTGACGGCCTCGGTCAGTTCTTCTTCCGCTCTGCCACACTTCGTTGAAAAAAAAGGAAAAAAAGATAGCAGCCCACGACAACAGGTGGAGCAACGCACGCAGCCCATATAACCCATAAAACACAAAAAAGCCCATGCCGGATGAACACAAATGCAAACCTGGCCCACCAAGGGACAAACACAAACGCCAGACAACTGACACAAACACCACCGCAGAGTTTCTCTTCTCTCTAAAAAAAACACCACTGCAGAGCGCAAGACAAACATTTGCTTTTTTTTTGCAAGTATCTGGCAGCAATTAATCATGTGGTGACGTTTTTTTTTTTGAATTTTTAACCGCCCCCTCCCCATTAATTTTCTGCCTAGTCTTCCTGTTGCTCTTTTTCACATTTGTGATGCCGATTCTTTGAAAACCAGTGTTTAATCTATGGTAATTTGTTTGATCCAAAATTGCCAATGGCAGTCAGTGTTTAATCTAGGGTAATTTTCATCTCAGGGCGTAGGGCTATTATCCATCCGGTGACCTGGACATGAGTAAAATCATGATGTCACCTTCATCGCCCACGATTTGGCTAAATTTCAACATTTTCAACATTGGTAAAATCATGATGTCACCTTCATCGCCCACGATTTGGCTAAATTGCCAATGACCCTTATTTGATTTGGCTAAATTTCAACATTTTCAATCAACTCATTTCAACCATAAAGGAGAAAGAAGACTAACCGGTAACCATAAATTTCAACCAACTTTTATTTGGTCAAACTTTATCATTTTTCATAACATCTCGACTTGAAGCACACTCTAAGCGTACCTCCGTGTCGTCAACACATATTTTGCCACCAAATGGGATTCTATGCTCTAAATCCGACACAGGAAAAACTTCCGATTCACATGGCAGAGAAAGAGTAAATCATGTTTAAACACATGGCATTATTTCAGTTTACCATATGAATACTGTACTGTTTTCCCTGCAACAATATTACAGCCGTGAAACAAAACAAGGTCTCATAAGATTTCTTTACTCAAAAAAAGTCGACTAGCTGGCTGGAGATTCAAGTAACCCTTTCCCCAGAGATTATAGCCGCAGAAAGAAAAGAAGGATATGTGAGGCAACCCTGAACCCTGAGCTATTGACCTACTCATCAGCCGTCCAAGGGCAGCTCACCACAATCCACAATTCGACAGGGCTGCTTGGGAATATCGGACCTGCTGGTTTCTTGCGATTCAAGCTCCCTCACAACGTCCATGCCCTCCAACACATGTCCAAACACAACATGACGGTCGTCCAACCATGGTGTCTGAGAAAAGCATTCCATTATTTTGAGTCAGAATAAGCACAAAGAAAATCTCAACGTAAAGGTTCTTGCGGATAAAACAAACAGGGAAATTCTTCAATTGGCTGGGGATAATTTATTCCTCATAAGTTATCCTATCCAATCTAATCTCCTGCGTTTTGTCTTGTTTATACATTGATAAACGCACTACAAATCTACCATCCCAAGTGGTTATTAAGTTATACTATCACTGGCTGGGAATCGCCGCCGAGCATACAAGTGCCCAGGCTAAGGGGGGCCGGTCGCTAACTCTGCTCACCATCTTGCAAAATTGGCGGCGGCGCAATGGCTGCATCTTCAACAGCACAAATCTGGATTGCAATCCCTTGGCCGAAAGTATCTAGCCGGATGTGGAACAGTGTGCAAGCTAGCCGACCGCAAGGTGCTGAGGAGGCTGCTGTTTCACACGACATCCTCCTGGCCTGCCATAGGCAGCAGTAATAGTAGGGCTTTGGTCTCATTTTGCCTTATTTTCGCTTCCTTTCCTCATTTTTGGCAGTTTTTAGGCTTCGCTAGCTTAATTTCTTTTTCAAGAAAACGCAAATGGCCTTTGCATTTCATTGCATTGGAAAGATAGGGAATTTAGAGCAACTTCAACGGGCCGACCCAAACGGACGGCGCTTTTGTCCGCTTTTTGTCCGTTTGGGTCGGCCCGGCGGACACAAACGTCCGGCGCTGTGTTTGGGTCGGCGCGAGCGCCCAACGCTAGCCCGACCCATTTTGTCGGCGTGCCAATTTTTTTTTAACATGCATTTAATTAAACATAAAAGCCGGCCACGGAGGCCGGCGAAAGTCCACATTATGTTAATTAACATTAAAAAACTAAAAACTAGACGACACGCAGCCCTAGGCGTCCTCGTCGGCGTCTGCGTCGGGGCCGGTGAGGTCGATCAGCATCGGCGCAGGTCCGGACCAGGGGAACGCCGTGTTCCAGAGGGCGGCGATGTCGGGCTGCACCGCCGCTCCCTCGGCCTGGCGCGCCTCCTCTTCGGCCTCACGCTCGAGCATCTGCAGGCGCTCGCCCTCCCGGCGCTCCTCGGCCAGCCGAACGCGGCGCCAGTGGTCGAGGTAGGCCGCCTCCTGCTTCTCCGTCGCCCCGAGCCAGATCGGCGGAGCGCTGACCCACTCGTGCACTACTCCGGTCCAGGAGTAGCGCTCGAGGGGGGCCGGCTCATCCGGCTCGGCTTTGGGCACCGGTGATCCAGTGACGGGGGGCTCGACAGCGGCCACTAGGGGCGTCGACGCAGCAGGTGTGGGCTCGGCTGTTGGCGGCCCATCCGCATTTGGCCCAACAGCAGTCGTGGGAGGAGGGGGGACCCCAACTTCAGAGGAGGGCTCGGGCGCGGGCAGGATGGCGAGGGAGGCGGCAACGAGGACGCCTCTTCCCGCCGAAACCGTCGCGGCGCGATCGTGGGGCTGCGGTGGCTGGTCAGCGGAGATTCCTGGGCCCGCCCGGGCGACAGGAGCGGGCGGGATGCCACTTTGCCCCGGCAAGGCGGCAGGCGATCCTGGCTCTCCTGAACAAACTGGCGCAACGGGCTGCAGTCTGGGACCTGGCCCAAAAGGGCAAGATCCCGACACGGCGTTGGATCAGCAGCGGCAGGGGTGGGACCGGCGGAATCATCCTCGGGATCATGGGGGGAGTCGGTGTTCGTCAGCTGGCCTCGGCACAACCGTCGTGGCGTCGTCAGCGGGCTCGACGGCCGCATGCGTCAGGCCTGCTTCCAAAGCCTGCCTTTGCGGGGCCCTTCTTTTCCCTCTTTTTCCTCTTTTGGCTCGGTGACGAGAACGAACGGGGCCCAACTGACCCGGCCATGACAACATGCCATCCCGCGTCGGCAAGGTGGGCAGCACCGCCACTGCCGCCGCCGGCCGGGGCCAGGAGGTTGCCGTGTTCGTCCCGTCGGCCTGTCCTGAGCGGTCGACGGCGTGCCAGGCGAACGCGTCCATGGCCATGCCGTCGGCCCAGCCGTCCGACGCAGCGTTAGTCTGCCTGCGCTTCCGACCATGGCGCCGCGCCCGACCAGGTCCGGAGCCCTGGCCATGCCCATTGCCGGCGCCATCGCAGCCGGGGTTGTCGTTATTGGCCTGGGCACCGGGAGGGGGCGCTCCGAGCGGGGTCGCACGTACGAGCGTGATGGAGATGGGATACGTGAGCGTCCTGACCACCGGCGCCTCCGAGGGCACACGAGACGGCAGGAGCTCGACGATCTCCAGGATGGCGGCGCGGCGGACGTCGGCAGGGTCATGCACACGGCCGGATAGGCGGAGACGACCAGGTCCGCGCGAGAGCGCGTGCGGGGATGTAACCTCTTGATCCAGCAGCTCTCCTCGAGGACGTGCTCGGCGGTGGAAAGATGCCAGGCTTGGGCGGGAATGCCACGAAGCTCGAGCTCGACGCGGTGTTCGAACACGCCGGCGCCGGCATGCGCGAGCTTGCACCATGGTCGTAGTGACAGCGCGAAGCGCGGCGAGCTGATGAAATGCTCGCTGAGCCAGCGCATGGTGTCCAAGGTGGAGAAGAGGATGAGGAAGTCTTCGGGGTGGTGCTCGTGGACGGTGAAATCGCCTTCGGATAGCTCGAGGGAGCGGTAGAGCAGTTCGGCCACCTCGGCCGCGATCACCCGCGGCCTGTTGCCGGTGATGGAGGCCACCATTGCACGGCCAAGGACCCGCTCAACCTCCTCCATCTCCGTGGATTGCGCCATGATGACACGCACGGGCACGTCGGGCCGCGGCGGGGGAGCCGGGGCCAGCTGGGGAAGCGCAGGTGGTGCCGGGGGTGGGTGCGCGGCGGCGCACTGGGGGCGGGCCGTCCCTGCTTGGGGCATCACGAGGAGGCCGCGCGTCGCCGTGGCGCCGGTAGTCGCAGTCACGGGATTCGTGGCCAGAGGTGAGGCAGCGCCTGCACCAGACGTCGTTGGTGCAGTCCCTCACCCGGTGGTGGTGGTCGAGGCAGCGAAAACACAGCCCAGCAATCTCCTCCGGTGACGAGCTGCGGCGGCGGGGAGGCGAGGAACTGGGGGTGCCGTCCTAGCGCGGGCGGCGGTGGCGGTTCCTGTGTCGCGGCTGTGGAACCCATCAGCGTCGAGCACAGCTCCGCCTGAGACGCGGTGGACTTCCGAGCGGGGTCCAAGGCGTTGCCTGGCGGGCACGCGGGCAACCAGCGCGGCGCGGCCAAGGGCCCCAGGTGCCGGCGAGGCAGCAGTGGCCGGCGGGGTGAGGGCGGCGTCCCTGTACGAGCGCGCCGAGGACTCGCTCTCCGAGCTAAGCCCGCGGTCACCGGAGGACACGCGCTCGCCGGAGAGGGTCGCCCGACGGTCG